TGTATCTCATATGAACTCAAAGTAAATTTTCTTAATATGGCAAATAATAACATAGTTATGAAAAAATATAAAGGAGGACCTCCCTGGTGGTGCAGGTGGGAACAGAGGGTGAATTCTCTCACCCTCCCGCACATCTGGCCTATACCCTGGTTCTTGTATAAAAATAAATAAATCTTTTAAAAAAAATATATATATAATATCTATATATACAAAGGAGAGAAAAGCTTTAATTCTTAAATGTAAAATTAAAACTTAATTTCTTTGAGATTTTTATTGAATAATTTTATAATAGAGCATATGTTATGGAATTTTAATATTTAAATGTGCCTTGAATTTTCATATGTTTAAAATTAAGAAATTCTCTAATTTTAGAGATAATCTTCTGGTATTTTTCTCTTTGTATTTGAAGGATCATTTTATCTTGATTTTTCCTCATCATTCTACATCATTATCAGTATTGTTGAAAGGCTGAGATAGAAAGTGAAATAGGTGGAATTAACCATCTTGACCTGATTTTTACATTCTTATCTTGAACTGGACAAGCTGCAATATCAAGAACTTTTAAGGAAGAGCTTTTTAAATTCCAATCCCACAACTGAGCATTTAGTTCAATAGTAATCACATGGCTTTAAGAGAATGATTCATTTACAACTCTGTGCCAGAGAAACCTGAGCATTTCTAATTAAGCTGAAATAACTTTAAAATACTCTAACTTTTTCTGAAGAAACAAAATATATATAAAAAAAAAAAGGAAGCTTATTCTTTCATCTTTGCCCTTTAAGTACTGCCTCAGTAACTCCATTCAGTCACTTCCGTTCCACTTCACTACTTTTTCTTTGAACTTGAAGTATATCATTGGACACCGCCAATTCAAGGTTATCAGTTTGCACAAAGATATAGAAACAACTCAAAACAACAAATAACATCATGTCAGTCAAACCCTGTTTGATTTTCAATCACAAAGTACCGTCCTTTAGAATATATATCTATTTACTGGTTTACTTGAAGATATTTTAGAGGAGAATCATACTTCCATTAGGTTCTCAGAGGAAGAACTAAGAAAAGTAAAAATGTCTGCTTCCTTAACAATTTTAGAATCAGGAAAGCTCCTTGTTGTTAAAGTCTCGTTGCTTATATCCTTCCCAGTGAGTTCTTAGACAAGAGTCATTCAGATCCTGAAAACTAGGTTCCTTAATGAAGAGTAAAATTTGCCTCTGCAAGGTGAAAAGTGAATCATCTGTCAATGAAGTTGCCTTTCATAGCCTATCTTCACTGAAAGAAACAACTATTCATGATTGTCTTGACTATAGTCATTTCTAATATTTATTTTGAGGATGCACCAAGATTAAAATTTGCAGGTTTTTTTTTTAATTTGTATTATTATTATATATTTGATCTTTGACCCATTCCTGGCACACAGTTCTTAAAACCCTTGGGATTCCCTGTGATGGGAGTTCTAAAGTTTTTATGGAACCTAAGGGGAACCAATCAGGTGATTAGGAGTTTAGAGCTTCTAGTAAACCCCTCCTCAACCTTCAAATAGAAAGAAGGACTGGAAATTGATTCAATCTTGAATTGCCACAGATTTAATCAATCATAATATGTAATGAAGAGTCCATAAAACACAAACACACATATACACACATAGGGTGAGGAGAGCATTTAGGAGATCTGGGGAGACTGGCACATTAGAGCAGAGCATGGAGTCTAGAGGCTACTTTCCCATCCTTGACCTAAGTATCACTTCCATCTGAATGTTCATCTGTGTACTTTACGTATCCTTTAATAATGCACTGGCAATCAAACAAGAAAAATGTTTCTCTGAGTTCTGTGAGTGGCTGTAGCATATTGATCAAGGTTGCAGAGAGGCTTGTGGGAACCTCTGAGTTTACAGTCAGATGGTCAAGGCAAAGGTAATTATTTAGCCTTTCAAACAGTATCTGAAGTGGAAGAGGTGGCAATCTTAAAAAACTAAGCCCTTAATCTTGAACCTGATGCTATCTCCAGGTAGATAGTGTCAGAATTGAATTCAATTTTAGGAAGATCAGTTAGTGATTAGATCATTGTTTGTTGATGTGTGAGGAAACCTACCCCTACTACACACACAAGCTCGCGCGCACACACACACACACACACACACACACACACACACACACACACACTGGAACTGGGTCACAGGAACTTAATAGATTATAGTTCAAATTATTCCTAACTTAGTCTTAATCACTTTACTTTGCCTTTTAGTAATCAGAATATTTGCCCACATTAATGTACTTTCTGAAGATTTTTAAGTGAATGAAGATTTATACAATAATGCATGATGACTAAATAGTCACCATGCCATAAATTTTTAGTACTCAGTACATTCTTTTTCATTGCTCTTTCTGGTGAATGTGTAGCAAATAATAAGTACATCCTTTCTCTAAATTAAGTTTTCTTTTGCAGACCCGAAGGAGAGTAAATGTATATTTGTGCCTTGAATGCAAGGGTTCTCTTAAATTACTTCTATGATAGAGCCTCATAGAGAATAAGAAATAAAAAAACAAATAGAGATAAAGTAGCAATCAGTATATTATCATTTACTGTGGCACTTAGTAAACATCAGTAGATCGCAAAAGCCTCTAATTAATATATATATTTCAAAGAGTGGGTGCTCATTTAGAAAAGGCATAATTATATTCTCCAAGAGTTTGTAGGTTAGGCGGATCAATGGGACCTCACTTTCTTTTACTACACATCTGAAAAGACATTTCACTGAGTTGTATTTCTGCTGTCCCTTTGGTAATACTAGAATTAGAACACAATTGTCATGGTAACTATTTTTCCTTTCAGTCACTGGCACCCATATTTTCAATAAAGATTAGAAAACCTCTGAAAAATATTATATGGAAAGTGGGTATCAGAATATTGGATATTTTAATAATATAAAACATATTTAATGTGAAAATGTCAAATGAACATTTATTAAGAAAATTCATAAACTTGTAATTATGTTTAATATGCATGTTCTTCTGCTATAGTTATTTTAATATTTGAGTATTTTGTTGCAAAGAAAGGAGCTAAGTAATAATGGTGGACATATTAACTTTAATTTTGGGCACTCTTAAGCCATCTAAGATGTCTCTTTCTTTTAATACCAGCACCAGAAGCTGCTTTTAAAAAATAGTGAATTAGTATTTTAATTATAGAGCTAAGACATTTATGGTTAAATATTTAAAATAGAAGGTTACAAGTGAAAATTTAACTTCCTCCATTTCCTAATTTTAATGTTTTAGCACACACAAACACAAAATGATTGTTCTAGTTGAGTTCAATTAATGTATTTTTTTTCCTGGTTATTCTCTCACTGTCAGTTCTTGCTGATTTTAGCTGCCCAAGATCATTTTAATTGAGGATTTGTAAAAAGTCTTGGAAGTCGAGTAACTGAGCTTATGAATATTGCATTAAACTTGTAGTAAAAAGGCTTTGTGAGAAGACCTGAGGGTCTTTCTGGAGAGTTGAATAAAAGAGCTTGATCTCCTTTATAGGAGATTTTGTAACATCTATTTTGTCAGTTCAGAAAACTTAATTTTTCCTGTTCCATCTTCAAGAAAAGTAAAGTTGCTATTTGAATTGCAAATAATGGAGTAAGTTCTGCCATCTATGATGTCAAAATAGCATGTATAAGTATCAATTCCTATTGCTTTCCCTATAGCATATTTGCTTCAGTAATATCTCCTACTACTAAACATCAAATTATTTTAATATCATTAAATTCCATTGTAACGATAATTTATTGTAATGATAACAATAGTAGCTTTATAATAATTTATATTCCATAGTTGTATGGAAATTTACTCATATTTAATATAAAAAGGATTTACTACATCTAACTCAGTTTCTTTAGTATTACTGCTTATTACCTTTGAATAAAAATTGAGCATAACTTATATATTATTTTTACTTCAATTAACAAAAATTCTCCTGCCTATGTTTATATTGCTTAGTTCATTGCTGCTTAAATTCTAAAGAGTGAATGAGTCCCCAAAAAGTGATTTTCCCTAGTTTTCAACCTTTTATTATATTACAAGTAAAAATATCTTTCGGTGCTTAAGTAAAAGTACATTAGAATGTTGACTTCTACATTGTAGGAATAGTTACTCACTGAGGTTGAAGTGAAAATGAAGATATGATCAAACACTGAAGTAATCTCAGTATTTGTTAACTTTTATCATGTAAACATTTGTGAACTTAAGGAAGACATTTTCAATGTAAGTTATTTAACTGAATCCAGTGAATCATATAAAATTTAGTTTGTACTTTCAATTTCTACTTTATTAGTTAATTTATTGTATTTCTTGAATTTATATATAGCATTTTTGAGAAAGATAGCTAATTTATTTAGATTGTAATATGATCGATGAAGATAGATCATTATTTTTCTCTAACATCTATTCCACAGATACATTTTCAAAAAGCAAGTTAAAAAAGGCAAAGCATACATTGGTTTATATATTTTAAGTTTGACTTTAAAATCTATTATTTTGAAAAACAAACTTAAAGAGAAAAATGGTAAAAATATTAAATTAGTTTTATTTTTAGAATCATACCAGTAACATACAGAGCTTAATTTTTTTTAAAAAGCTCATAATTGTCATGATAGGATTATACACACACATATGTATGTATTTATAATTGCTAAGAGTGATAGAATGAAATTATAAAATCTACTGTCAGAATTATTTCCTTTCCAGCAATCTATTGAACTGATAATTTACCATAAGACTATTAGGTAATTCAAACAAACTGAACATTTGTCTCTATTTAGGTCATTAAAGTGTCTGCCATGGAAAGAAAAGGAAATAGTTGAATTGCAACTCCCTTTGTTTATCTGCCATGTTCTGTTTGAGAAAAATGAATATGACAAGATTGTTTTCACATCCTAGTGTGTGCTCTGCCTTGAGCAGGTAATATGTTGCATTAGTAGTAAATCATGACTATTTGATTTTATGTTTTATCAGGAGCTACAACCATAGAGAAATATGACCTGAGAACAAATCTGTGGATCCAAGCTGGGATGATGAATGGCAGGAGATTGCAGTTTGGTGTGGCTGTTATTGATGACAAACTCTTTGTAATTGGAGGTCGAGATGGCTTAAAGACACTGAACACTGTTGAATGTTACAATCCCAAAACCAAGACTTGGACTGTGTTACCGCCAATGTCAACACATAGACACGGTCTAGGTAAGTGTTCTTAGTTTATTCATGTTCATTTTAGAAACATGTTTATTGATAATGAAATGTATGTTAAAATGGAGAGCTGCTCCCATCAATTATCAGGAAATGTATGTAAATTGTGAGTTCATTTGGTGCATATATTTTAAGTTTTAACCATTCCTTGTGTTGATCAATGCATCAAACTATTGAGATGCAAACGATAACAAAATGAGTAGACCTCAAGCTCTCATCACAGTTTTCACAATATGACATTCATGCAATCTGTAAAATTGAGTCTGAAAAAAAAGACAAGAAACAAAAAACAGGAATATCATGGAGAGACCAGAGTAATGTTTTCAGAGGATGAAACAGTTAATGTGGATAGAGGAAACCTTAATTAAGGCCACTCACTTTCTCATTACTGATTAGAAAAGTCTGAGAGTATCTAAGAACATAATTGATTCCACCTTGAAAATTTTTTTTTTTTTTTTTGAAATTTCCTTTCCTTTTATTTCTTTTTTTTTTTAAATATTAAATTTTATTTTATATTCCCCCATACAATTGCAAACGCCCCATTCTGACCCCAATCCTTCCCCTCCCGCCCCACCCCCAAAAAGTGTCTCTGGTTCATAGTTTTTTGTTGATTTTGATTTTCACTTTCTTATATTCATTTTCCTGGTCCTTATTTAAGTTTTCTAGATTCCTGCTATGAGTGAGACCATCCGGTATTTTTCTTTTTCTTTTTGGCTTATTTCGCTGAGCATGATCCCTTCCAGTGCCATCCATGTTGCTGCAAATTGCATGTGTTTATCTTTTTTGAATGCTGAGTAATATTCCATGGTATATATGTACCACTTCTTGATCCAGTCATCTATTTTTGGGCATTTGGGTTGTTTCCAAGCTTAGCTATTGTAAACAGTGCTGCTATAAACATAGGGAGTGCAGGTGCTCTTTGGAATTGATGTTTCTGTGTCCTTTGGGTAAATACCTAGGAGTGGAATTGCTGGATCATATGGAAGCTCTATGTTTAGTAGGTCCAGAAATCTCCACACAGCTCTCCATAGTGGTTGGACCAGTTTGCACTCCCACCAACAGTGCACAAGAGTTCCTTTTCTCCACATCCTCGCCAACATTTGTTGTTGCTAGTTTTTTAATATGTGCCATTCTCACTGGTGTGAGATGGTATCTCATGGTAGTTTTGATTTGCATTTCCCTGATTACAAGTGATGTTGAACATTTTTTCATATGTCTGTTGGCCATTTGCATTTCCTCTTCAGAGAAGTTTCTTTTTAGCTCTTCTGCCCATTTTTTGACTGGATTATTTTCTTTGTTGTTGCTGAGTCTCATCAGCTCTTTGCAGATTTTTGTGATCAGTCCTTTATCATTAGTGTTGGGTGCAAAAATGTTCTCCCAGTTGGTGGGGTTTCTCTTTGTTTTTGTTATTGTCTCTTTTGCTGTGCAGAAGCTCTTTAATTTGATGTAGTCCCAGCTGTTTATCTTTCTCTTCACTATCACTGCTTTGGGTGATGTGTCTGTAAAGATGTCTTTGATGTGCAAATCCGTAGTGTTTCGCCTATATTTCCTTCTATGTATTTTATGGTTTCAGGTCTTATGTCTAGTTCTTTAATCCATTTTGAGTTGATTTTTGTGTATGGTGTGAGGTAGTGGTCAAGCTTCATTCTTTTGCATGTAGCGACCCAGTTTTCCAGCACCATTTATTGAACAAACTTTCTTTGCTCCAATGCATAGTCTTTGCTCCTTTGTCAAAGATTAGTTGACCATAAATCTGTGGGTTTATTTCTGGATTTTCTATTCGATTCCATTGGTCTGTATGTCTGTTCTTGTTCCAATACCATGCAGTTTTGATGATTATGGCTTTGTAGTATAGTTTGAAGTCTGGGAGTGTGATGCCTCCATTTCCTTCTTTTTTTTTCAGTAGAGCTTTGGCTATTCGGGTTTTTGGTGATTCCATATGAATTTCATCAATAATTGTTCTATTTCTTTGAAGAATGCCATTGAGATTTTGATTGGAATAGCATTGAATCTGTATATTGCTTTTGGTAGGATGGCCATTTTAATAATGTTATTCTTCCAATCCATGAGCAGGGGATGTCTTTCCATTTCTTTGTGTCTTCTTCTATTTTCTTTTAACAGTGTTTTATAGTTTTCTTTGTATAGGTCCTTTACCTCTTTTGTTAGATTTATTCCCAATATTTGATTTTTTTTGTTTCGATAATAAAAGGGGTGGTTTTTTTGATTTCTTCTTCTTCAGATTTATTGTTTGTGTATAGGAAGGCTACTGACTTTTGCGTGTTGATTTTGTATCCTGCCACTTTACTGAATTGATTGATGAGTTGAATTAGTTTTTCTGTGGAGATTTTGGGTTCTCTATGTATATTATCATATCATCTGCAAATAGTGATAGTTTGACTTCTTCTTTTCCTATTTGGATTCCTTGGATGTCTTTTCTTGTCTTATTGCTCTGGCTAGGACTTCCAGTATTATATTGAAAAGCAGTGGTGAGAGTGGACATCCTTGTCTTGTTCCAGATCTTAATGGAATTGCTTTCAGCTTTTCACCATTGAGAATGATACTGGCTGTTGGCTTGTCATAGATGGCCTTTATGATGTTGAGGTATGTTCCTTGTATCCCAAGAATTTCAAGGGCTTTTATCATGAATGGGTGTTGCACTTTGTCGAAAGCTTTCTCAGCATCTATTGATATTATCATATGGTTTTTATATTTCTTTTTGTTGATGTGTTGGATAACGTTGATTGATTTTCGGATGTTAAACATCCTTGTGCCCCTGGAATGAATCAACTTGGTCGTGGTGAATTATCTTATGGATACATTGTTGGATTCTGATAGCTAAAATTTTATTGAGGATTTTTGCATCAGTGTTCATTAGGGAGATTGGCCTATAGTTTTCCTTTTTTGTGTTGTCCTTATTCGTTTTGGTATTAGTGTAATATTGGCTTCATAGAACGTGTTTGGTATTGTCCCTTCCTTCTCAATTTTTTGGAAGAGTTTGTGAAGGATAGGCACTAATTCGTCTCTGAATGTTTGGTAGAATTCATTTGTAAATCCATCAGGTCCTGGGCTTTGTTTTTGGGGAGGTTTAATTACCATTTCAATTTCGCTGCTTGTAATTGGTCTGTTTAGGTGTTCTATTTCTTCTTATCTAGCTTTGGGTGATTGTAGAGTTGTAGGAATTTGTCCATCTCCTCTAGATTGTTGAACTTGTTTCCATATAACTGTTCATAGTAGTTACTGATTATTCTTTGATTTCTGCTGTGTCCGTTGTGATTTCTCCTCTTTCATTTATGATTCTGTGTATTTGTGCTTTCTCCCTTTTTTCCTTTGTGAGCCTGGCTAGGGTTTTGTCTATTTTATTTATTTTTTCAAAGAACCAGCTCTTGGTTTCATTGATCTTTTGGATTGTTTTTTTAGTTTCAATTTCATTTATTTCTGCTTTGTTTTATTATTTCTTTTCTTCTACTGGTTCTGGGGTTTTTTTGTTGTTCTTTTTCTAGATCTTTGAGCTTCGAGATTAGGTTGTTTCTTTGAGTTCTTTCTTGTTTTTGATGTGAGCTTCTATTGCCTAATATTTTCCTCTTATTACTGCTTTTGCTGCATCCCATACATTCGGATATTGGTGTCCTCCTTGTCATTCAATTCAAAGAATTTTTTAATTTCTTCTTTGATCTCCTCGTTAGTCCAGTGGTCTTCCAGTAGTGTGGCTTTAATCTCCATGAGGTAGGATAGTTCCTTGCCTTCTTTTATATTTATTTCTAGTTTGATGCTTTCGTGGTCAGAAAAGATGGTTGGTATGATTTCAATCTTGGTGTATCTGTTGATGTTTGTCTTGTGCCCCAGTATGTGATCGATCCTGGAGAATGATCCGTGTGCGCTTGAGAAAAATGTGTACTCCGTTTTTTTGGGTTTAGTGTTCTATAGATGTCTGTTAAGCCCAAATGCTCTAGGTCCTTATTTAGAGCTTTAGTTTCTTTACTTTTTTTTGTCTTGTTGATCTATCCATTGTTGATAGTGGTGTGTTGAAGTCTCCACTACATATGTGTTTTTCTCTGATGTCTGTTTTCAGAGAGGAAACAGTTGTCTGATATATTTTGGTGCTCTTTCGTTTGGTGAGTATATGTTAATGAGTGTTATTTCTTCTTGAAGTATTGTCCCCTTATCATAATGTAGTGACCATTGGGGTCTCTTTTTATTTTTTTGAGTTTGAAGTCTGTTTTATCTGATATAAGTATAGCTGTTCCTGCTTTCTTTTTTGGCCCATTTGCTTGTAGGATTGTTTTCCATCCTTTGACTTTGAGCCTATTTTTATCTTTTGTAGCTAAATGTGTTTCCTGGAGACAGCAAAAGGTTGGGTTTTGTTTCTTAATCCAGGCTGCAACTCTGTGTCTTTTTATTGAAGAGTTTAGTCCATTTACATTTAGAGTTAATATTGATATGTTAGCATCTGTATTTGCCATTATGTTTGTCTTTCCTTTGATTTTATTTATTTATTCTTTTATAATTTTTTTTTTTTGTCTTCTTTCGTTGTTATTCGTCCTCTGAGGTTCTGGCTTTAGGATTCCTTGTAGTATTTTTTGGAGTGGGGGTTTAGTCGCAATGAAATTCCGGAGTTTCTCTTTGTCTGGGAAGGTCATATTCTTTCTTCATGGAGGAAAGAGAGCTTTGCGGGATAGAGTATTCTTGGTTGGCATCTGTTTTCTTGGAGTCTGTTGACTATGTCCTCCACTCTCTCCTTGCCCGTAGTGTTTCTTCAGAGAAGTCTGATGTCAGCCTGATTGGTTTCCTTTGAATGTTATCTGTTTCTTCCCTCTTGTCAGCTTCATTATTTTTTTCCTTGTCCTGGATTCTTGGGAGCTTTACTATTATGTGTCTTGCTGTGTTTTTCCTTTCGTCGTGGAAGTTTGGTGTTCTTCTTGCTTTTGTATATCAATTTTCAGCTCCTTCTTCTCATTTGGGAAGTTCTCTTCAATTATATCCATGAATATTTTCTC